AGGCTGAGGCTGAGGCTAAGGATAAGGCTAAGGATAAGGCTAAGGCTGAGGCTAAGGCTAAGGCTGAGGCTAAGGCTAAGGCTGAGGCTAAGGCTGAGGCTAAGGATAAGGCTAAGGCTAAGGATAAGGCTAAGGATAAGGCTAAGGCTAAGGATAAGGCTAAGGATAAGGCTAAGGATAAGGCTAAGGCTAAGGCTGAGGCTAAGGATAAGGCTAAGGCTGAGGCTAAGGATAAGGCTAAGGCTAAGGATAAGGCTAAGGATAAGGCTAAGGCTGAGGCTGAGGCTGAGGCTAAGGCTAAGGCTAAGGATAAGGCTAAGGATAAGGCTAAGGCTGAGGCTGAGGCTGAGGCTAAGGCTAAGGATAAGGATAAGGCTAAGGATAAGGCTAAGGCTAAGAAGACGCATGTGCAGGTCAATGACAATGATCTCCATCCTCTGACCGCTACAGTACAATGGAGCTAAAGCATGTTTCCTGAATTCCCGTGTGAATTACACTTATCTTTTGTTTCAGGGGCTGAAGAACATGCCTTTTATTGTGCTATTTAGTCAGAGTCTTCAGATTGAGCTGACATTAATTACATAATACCAGCTCAGTCTAATTATGTAATTTAATATGTTTTCTTTAACACTGAGCTTTTGGCATAAAATATGGTGCTTATGGAGTTTTATGTTATTTTCTAAACGATCATTATACCTCAGTTACAGACCTGGTAGAGTATTTGCATATTATGTTTACATTTTATTAACATCTGCATTGATGGAAAATGTGAGCAGTTCTTAACCTGATCTTTTTAGCTCTTCCTCTGTTCACTTGGTTTTCAGCTGAATTACTGTTGAATGTTTGTGGCTTAAAACAGAAACATGAAAGAACTCGCTTGTGTGTCACTTTGGACAGAAGCGTCTACTAAATAAATTAGTGTAAATGTAAATATATTTTTATGAGCGTGGCTCAGTGTCGCCTGTGTTGTCGCTGAGTTATTCAGTGGTTTTGGTATCTTTGAAAATAATTGACACACCATATAGCCTCTGGCCTGTGGGTAACACTGTCATGCAACAACTTGGTTTTCAGCGGAATTACTGATGAATGTTTGTGGCTTAAAACAGAAACATGAAAGAACTCTGTTGTATGTCGCTTTGGACAGAAGTGTTTACTAAGTAAATGAGTGTAAATGTAAATATATTTTTATAAGTGTGGCTCAGTGTAACCTGCGCTGTCGCTGAGCGATTCAGTGGTTTTGGCATCTTTGACAATAATCGACACACCATAGCCTCTGGCCTGTGGGTAACACTGTCATGCAACAACCACACGATGTTCTTCTAAAAGTAATTCCACTAAAGTTACTTTGTTCCCACGCTTGTGATCAACAATGATTCTTCCAGCAAGCTTTGTTGTTCTTTAGCAGACTCATTCCTCCATACATTATTCTATAATTTCTCCCTGTATTCCCAGTCTCAGCCACCATCCCACAGCATGACACCACTGCCACCCTGCTTCCCAGTAGTGACTCTGGGCCATCAACAGTGGGCTTTTGAGTTTATTCATTCTAAATGATGACGTCTTCATTTCTACCTTTCCATTCTGTTTCTTAGAGGCTATTTACTGATGCACCTTTACTCCAGGCTCAGCCACTGAAGCTTGTAGATCTTTCAGACTGGTTGCTGGCCTCTCCATGGTCTTCCTTACAAGCCTCCGTTCCATTCAGACAATTCTGAAGCTGCTAGAGATCTTTTTTAACTGCTGTCTGGGTGCCAGTCCCATCTCTGCTCTCTGAGTGTGCAGTTCTCCTGTGTTGGCTGGGTTACTTCCCGCAGTCGAAAGACATACAATTATGCTAATTGGCATCTAGACAGTGACCATTGTGAGTGAGCCCTGCAGTGGACTGGCATCGTACCCAGGGTGTACCCCAGCCTTGTACCCCCTACTGCCTGGGATGGGCTCAGGCCCACTGGGACCCTGACCAGGATAAGCAGTTATTTGATGAATGGATGAAGAAATAAAGATATTCAGATCCAATACACAACAGTCAAACTGGCTACCAAAGAAATATGTGATGAAAAAGGTCTGCATCACCCGGAACCTGAAATACTAATTATGGGCCCTTTATCTGAAATGTGATTTTAATTGCTGTTCAGTGTTGTGGGTTGGCTTTATGTCTCTTTATAAGTTTTGGAAGCCATTTACTTAGTTGAATACAGTGCTTTACATGTTAAAATAGTCTAGTATTGTCATGCCCCGATCGTCCGCTCCTTCTGTGTGTCACGCCCCCTCGTTAACCCTGTGTGGATTCCCTGTGTTTACCAGCTGTTCCTGATTGTTGTCATTAGTCCATTGTATTTAGTCCGCGTTTCCGTTTGTTTCCCCAGTCCGGTCATTGTAATGTTGATCTGTGTTGTTGCCTGTTCCTTCGTGTTCGCTCCCATTAAACCCAGTTTTTTCCACGTTTTTACGTTTCCTGGCTTCTGTT